AAAAAAAAATATGAAGAGGGAGATGACTTCCAGGCCACCTGGAAAACCAAGCTGAATAGTTTCTGGTCAGAGAGGATAAATGTGTAATAGAGAATATGGTTCATTGTTAAGCTGGTAAATCTATTTATTCATTGACATTAACTGAGGTCAGCTTTTCTTCTTTGAAAGTAATCTAAGACAATTTGATATATGATATATTAAAGCTGAGACTAATGCCAGACCCATCCAAACCACAATATGTCCATAGAAGCAGAGGACAGTCCTGAGGACTAGAATCCTGGGTAGGATCAGTGGGGAGTGCAGGTCAATAGCGTGACGTGATCAGAAGCTTAGACAGTTTATTCTTAGAAAGGCAGTGTTTTCAATCGGATCACTAAAACACTGAACACGATTGGGAAGAACCAGCATGTACGAGTCTTCAGGCTGGCGTGGATAGAGAGCAAAAGTAAAGCTGGTGCTGAGAAGCGTGACTGGCATATTCAGAGCTAAGAAAAATTTATAGTGCCCTCGAAATGTCTAACACAGCGTCCCTTCCTTCCAGTTTCTCCTATTTCATTTTGAAGGTGGGAAGTTAGGTTCTTTAAAGTGGTAGGAGAGAGACATGCCCAGATTACTTCAGTATATGACGCAGATGCCAACTCATCTGCCATTCTGTCAAGCCTGCGAGGAAAGCCGTCCTCTGGAGAACCACCACAGGAGCTCAGAGAGAGCGAGCCTGAGAGAGACCTACCACCCAGGAGAGAAGGTGATGCTGGGTCCAGTGGCACACAGACTGGGTGGGACATGATTCCCAGCCTCCCCAGAATCTCTTGGCCTCCCCCAGGTCCAGCCCACAGGCGTTCGCCTTTGGCTGTGGTCTAGTCAGTCATGGTCACGGTGGCGAGGTAGGTTCTTGACATGCATGGCACAAAGCATATCAACTTTACAGGGTGGGCAAAGAAAGCTTGTAGAAATATTTAGCAGGCCCTTATTAGGAATTCATGGGCCACCTCCTTCGTACTCCATCGCTTGTCTGCCATGAACACTTCCAGGAATGTATCCTAAGCACACACTTATACTACTAAATGCCAAACAATAATGGATTGATTTATAAGTTATGGTAGATAACAAAATGGCATACTAAATAGCTATTAAAAATAATGATGCTATTTTTGAGAGATGGACATTTGATGAATGGTTGCCATATGCCAAGCATGTGCTAGACGGTAGATAAGATTACTATCTCTATTTTGCAGATTAAAAACCTGACTTGGAGAACATAATATTTATTGACAGAAAAATCTTTACAGTATACTATTCAGTAAACATAGGACGTGATGAAACAGTGTAATAACATGCAGAGAATTTTGGTGACTTCCTTTTCTTTTTTATTCTTATGTATTTTCTAATTTTTTCTTCAATGAATTTGTGTTATTTATGTAACTGAAATATAATAACTGGAAGAAATTTTTTTACTAAAAATTTAATATATTTTTCAGTAATTGAGATAATTTAAAAATATATCTTCATTCCTTTATGTAGTCTTTCTTCCTTATTCATCAAACTTTTTGCTTTTTTTTTTTTTATCTAGAGACAGGGCAGAGTTGGTTTCCTTAGTAATAGCAACTAAAGCTCCCAAACATTCTTTTCTTTTTGTTTTTTCCATTATTTTCTTTTAAAACTGTTTGGATTTCCTGAGTAAAAGATATGCATACTAATTATCAGTCCAATTTTACTCTAGGAGCTTGAAAATGATGACTGTGAAAATGGCCTGATTCAAAGTTTAAACCAACAATTTTAACAGCTTAAATCAACAATTTTAAGTGGGTCACCAGTTCCTCCTAGAATTTTCAGACACTTCTCGACACTGCAATTTAAGTCCACAGGCCAATGTCTTATTGCACGGATGTCAACAAGGGTTGTCATATTAAACGTGAAGATTGTATTTGAAGGATTCTTCAACTTTCTATTCATATTTTTTAAATTAAATAAAAGCAATGCATGTTTGTTAAAAATGCAAACAGGACACAAAGACATAAAGTAAAAAGTCTCCATCTTTACTTCAGTTCTTCACCAAAGGGATCACTGGTGTCAATTTCCTGTGTATTACTCTAAATGTGTTTAATGCATGTAACAGCACATATATGATAAACGCTTTTTTAAAGGAGATATATTCTCTTTAATATGTTTACCCAGATGGGCTCATACTGTATTACTGACTTGTAACCTCTTTTCTCCATTCCAATCGTAACTGCTGCAGAGTATCCAATTGTATAAATGTACCACAATACAAACAACTAGTCTCTTTTTTGATGATTTAGGGTTTTTCTTTTAGAAACAATCCTGGAATGAGCAAACCAATGACACAAAGAACATCTAAATGTTTGATTGTTTATATAAAGCACAAAATCCAGTGAAAGTGAACTCTGGTGTTGAGCCCCCTCCCTTGGTGGAGGGACTGGAAGAGGTTTCTAGGGTGTTTATAATGTTTCTCGATTAGGGTGCTGGTTACCCATGTGTGTTCCTTTTGTGAAATTTCATCGCTCTTTAAACTCTCAAGCGCAGTTTTCAGTATCAACCCATCCTAATCTTATCAACCTATCCCATTCTTTATCTTTTCTACTTTGTTTTTACCAAAATCTTCAGCTGCTGAGATTCTTCGTTGTGTCTCAAACACGCCAGGCAAGTTCCTCCTTTAGTATTTTTACATGTGCTGTTCACTCAACTCTACTACCGTCAAAGAATTAGTGGGGTAGATGCTCAGCTAACAACCTTTGCCCTCTTTAAGCAATTATTCCCAAAACTGTAGTCCTAGTGTGAGTATTCAGACAATCTACTCCTCTTGGAACAAGTGATTGATCCAAGAATGCACCTGACCCAAGCTTGGTCCATCAGATTCTGTCTCCTGGGAACTGGGAGTTTTGAACTGAGCGTTCGTGAGCCTGGACAGCATTGTTGCTGAGTCTACTGAACAGTAACTTGTGTAGCCTCCCTAAAAACTCCTGTTGTCCAGAGGTCCAGAGCTGTCCAGGCTCCCGTACTTCTTGAGGCTTTATTATACATCTATTTCTCCCTCAGATTTCACGAGCCTCCTTTGTATGCTTACAATAATTTTTTCCTTTGCTTAATCTAATGGTGTTGGTTTCTATTTCTTGCAACCAGAAGAATCGCAAATAGCACAATTTCTTTCTCATTTGCTCTTGCACACTTATTCTGTAAATATGTTGCTGGGCCCCATGTCGATCTTTTCTTACTCTGATTGACAGGTGAAGAGAAGCGAATCAACAATCACCAAGTGTTTTCTTCCTGAGCCAGCCAAGTTACAGCACAGCACAAAAGCTCTGGAGTTATTCTCGTGTCCTGTGCATGGCCCAGAAGTAGCACGAGAACTACCTGGCCAAGTATATAAACAAGGGATACCTATGCACCTGGAGTGAAGTCATGACTTGGGACTAATTAAGACAGTGGCCTTCTCAGATATATGACTGGAGACAAAGGGGTTCCCCCAGCCTGGTACTGCATAAGCCTGCAGGATTTGGACTCAACTGTAAGAGAAAGGGAGACAACCCTAAATTGACTGAGATTAAGAACCTTTGTGGGGGCCGGCCCCGTGGCTTGGTTAAGTGCGCACGCTCCGCTGCTGGCGGCCCGGGTTCGGATCCCGGGCGTGCACCGACGCGCCGCTTCTCCGGCCATGCTGAGGCCGCGTCCCACATACAGCAACTAGAAGGATGTGCAGCTATGACCATACAACTATCTACTGGGGCTTTGGGGGGAAAAAAAAAATGCTACAGTTTGTGATTTTCCTGAATAAAATGATAGACCTCAGTTATGCCTAAGGCTGATTTCTAGAAGATTTGGTTTTTTCCACCTATGTTCATAGCATCTTTATTTTGTCTAACCAAAATAAAATGCTTGACTTCATTTATGAAAAACAAACTCAATACTTTTAAAATTTGACATTTTAATTGGAAACAGTTCACATGGTCTTCTCAAGGGAAGCTGAGAGAGGCAAAGTGCAATAAACAGAATGAAGTATTACACATACGTCTCTGCATAAATCAACATGAAAAGATTCCCAAGATATCTGAAATGGAAAAAGCAAGCTACAGAATAATAAGTACAGTGAGAGTCCACTGTTAAACATTTTTTCTAAACTATATATTTATGTATTGTTTTTGCAAATATGTTATTGTTTTTGTAATATAAAAACAACAAAATTAACGATAATGTTCAAACCACATTTGCTAAATCACTTTGAGGTTGATTTATATAAGATAATATCAACAAATAAAATGTTTAATGAAAAACTAGAATCAAGTATACAATATACTTGATTCTAGAAACAAGTCTTATTTACAAACTAAGGAAAAAAAGGTATTTCTTTTAATTAAATGTAGGTTTTAGAAAAACATTCATTATGCATTACTACCATAATAAGAATGGATTTCCTAAGAACAGCTCAAGTATCCAGTGACATCTTAAGAGATGAACCAAAATTTTTTTTCATTCATATTCAGAAAATCTAATGTGTTTACTTGCTTGTTGAGTCTTTGCGAGTCTGATCTTTTCAGCTTTGGTGATTAACTATAGACAAAGAAATCAGAAATTAGAATGTATTGGATACCCAAACACAAAAAGATAATTACTACTAGAAAAATTTCACAACTATCAGCTTGAATAAAATTTTTTAAAAAGTGGGAGAGGTATTTATCCAAAGAACTTGAAAACACCAATTTGCAAAGGTACATGCACCCCTGTGTTCATTGCAGCGTTATTCACAATAGCCAAGACTTGGAAGCAACCTAAGTGCCCATCAAGGGACGAATGGATAAAGAAGATGTGGTATATATACACAATGGAATACTACTCAGCCATAAGAAACGATGAAATCCACCCATTTGTGACAACATGGATGGACATTGAGGGTATAATGCAAAGTGAAATAAGTCAGAGGGAGAAGGTCAAATACCGTATGATTTCCTTCATTAAGTAGTAGATAATAACAACAATAAACAAACACATAGGGACAGAGATTGGATTGGTGGTTACCAGAGGGGAAGGGGGGAGGGAGGAGGGTGAAAGGGATAATTCGGTACATGTGTGTGGTGATGGGTTGTAATTAGTATTTTGGTGGTGAACATGATGTATGCAGAAATAGAAGTACAATGATGTGCACCTGAAACTTTTACAATGTTATAAACCAATGTTACTGCAATAAACAAAAAATTAAAAAAAAAAAAAACAACCCAACTTCATCAACACCCAAAAAAAAAAAAAAAAAGTGGGAGAGGTAGACAAATGAGGTAATTAAGCTTAGGTCAAATCAATCACAGAGAGAACTGTCTACATTATGGTTTATTAAGTATAATAGGTATTAAACCCTTGAATTATCTAAACCCCTCCCACTTTAGTTCCAGATTACTAAAAATTTCCCAATTAAAACCAGCCACTCAATGCTAGCAATTTTTTAACCTTTTAGGAGGATTCAGGACCCATATTTGTTAGTTGTTTCATATCCCCTTGGGCTTGAGTATTAATTACCAAGACACTTCTTAAATGATATGTGGTCCCCAGTAATTATACTGTGCTTGAGAATTCATGTATTATTTGAATAAGACAGCATATTTGGGGCTGAGTGCTACAAAAGGTTTTCTTACAAATTTGAAAATTAAAATATCCCAAATAAGGATCTGCTACTAAGAGCACTTATTTTTTATTACATCTTTACATAAGTACTTGGATATTTTTAAAGAAGGCAAATGAAATTATGTGGAATGCAGAAGACCATTTAAAATGTCTAAATTTTCCCAAAGCTTTCTTGATAGAAAGATTTAAAATATCTTATTTAGCTTTGGAGGAAATTAAAATCTTAGTCTCTTGAAAACACAGATTCTAATGAGTATTCATTAAAATAGTTTCCTTTTTTTCCAATTATTTTATCAATGTCATAATGATTTATAACATTGTGTAATTTCAGGTGTACATTATTTAAAATAGTTTCTTTAAAGTGTTTGGTGATTGGCAGGAAGTCACTATTGGATTAAACTAAAAGCTATTCATCAGTGAGGTGAGTCAAAATGTATTTAAAACTCTTGTCACACCCATGTCCTGTTCACAAATTTCATGAATTCTCCCTTTACCTGCTGAATATTTGAGATATCAGTAATTTGGAGGGAAAAGACCGCTTTGATAAAAACAATAAAAAATTCAAATATGCTTTAAAAGCTAAGGAGAAATGAGAAAAGTCTCATTCTGTCTCCAGTAGCTGTTACCTACTTTTAGCAAAGTGACAGGGTACACTACAAAGATCTGGTCCAGCAAGAATGAGCAAGACCCCTTTTGGCAGATCTTTCCTTCATTTTACTGACCTTATGTGAGAGTTCCAATTTAATTTACTCACACTTGATTTTTACAAGTAAAAATATCATATGTAGAAAATAAAATTTTTCTTTATTCTATTTTCTTGTCTTTTAATTCTGTATAAACCGATGGGGATTAGGAAATTGTTCCCAGTATCCTTCTACTCCATAACGGGAAAACTAAGAACCAGGATTTTTTACTAGTGCTTTTCTTTCACTCCATTACGGACCAAATACGATACTACTGTGGAAACACTGGGCTGTCATGTCAGTGAGGTATTTATGTCATACTGTGGGCTGTTAATTTTTTCTAAGTCCTTAACTTCCAGTACTAAGTGCTTATTCCCAGTACTGCAGCTACACTGGCCTCCTAGTTGACACTCCCCCTCAAGGCCTCTGCACTCTCTGCTGCCTCTGCCTGGACGCTGTGCATCTAAGCTCCCCTAGCTTGCGTGCTCACTTCCCTAAGATCTGCTCTAATGTCACCCTCACAGACAGAACTTCTTAGACCACCTCAGCAATGTAGAACTATCCCACAATACCCTTTAATTTTTCTGCACGGGACTGGTCATCGCCTGACCTAACCTGTTGACATGCAGGCTGCATGAAAGCAGGGACTTCGTTACCCATGGCTGTAGCCCCAGTCCCTAGAAGAGTGGCTAACACAAACGGGCACTCAAAAACATTAATTGATGAATTAACAAAAAAGTAGGTTGACTAATTATGGTTTACCCCTGTCCCCTGAAAAGCTTGTACAGCACCTACTGTGTGTGGTACCTTTTTTTCATTTCGTGGAGATGAGCCAATTAGCTACTTCCATAGCTTCACTAGGATCCTATACTTTCAGATGTTTCTGTTTATCAAACAAATCATGCTAATGACAAGCCTGATGGCACAACAAGTAACTGAGATCAGGAAAAGAATTCTCTGACTCAATGACAGAGCTACTCATTGTGTTCCAACCCAATTTATAAAATTCCCTGTCAATGTTTATTTCCTTGCCTCAAATTTAATTTACAGAGATGGGATCTTTCTGAAAAACAAAACGACTAATTCCTAGTTTTAAAAATATACACAATTTAAATGAAATTTCACACCAATTAGAAGGATACGTATTAACAAAGTGATTGCATTTCAGTTGTGAGTTCTGGATTAATGATTTTAACATTTAAATAATCTCAAGCAGACTTTTAAATTAACACCTCATAGACCTGAAAGAGTCCTTAGGAAGGAAGGAGGCCTCCCCACCTCAGCCAATTCAGTCTGCATTCCAGGAAACAGAATTAACAAAGACCAGTAGGAAACCTGCCTCTAAATCATCCCAAATGCCAATGAATCCTAGGCAATGCAAGGCTGATGAAAAACACTTGATTTTTAAGTTTTTAAAAAAAAAAGGAATTTTATAAATATGACCCCAAACCAACAAGCCTGGCATATAGGACATATGACTTTTCAAGTGCTAACCAATCATAAAAAAAAATGTACAGCTTGTTAGCTCAGGGCTGATCTTGCTCACACACACACAAAAAAAGTATACATCTTTTTACATTTTTCTGACTTTTCTAATATACATTTTAAAATTCTGATAAGTAATATTAGTTATTATGTGTCCTATTTTGTCCTAAGCACTTTAAGATGTACTAATCTTTACAGGTATAATAATTTGTTTCAAAAGAATAAACTTGGGAGCCGGCCCGGTGGTGCAAGCAGTTAAGTGCGCGCGCTCTGCTGCAGCGGCCTGGGGTTCGCCGGTTCGGATCCCGGGCGCGCAGTGAAGCACTGCTTGGCAAGCCATGCGGTGGCAGTGTCCCATATAAAGTGGAGGAAGATGGGCACGGATGTTAGCCCAGAGCCAGTCTTCCTCAGCAAAAAGAGGAGGATTGGCAGATGTTAGCTCAGGGCCGATCTTCCTCAGACACAAAAAAAAGAAAGAATAAACTTGATAGCTCACTAGCAACAATAATTATTTTATAAATTAGTCAGTATAATTTAAAATAAAACTACCGAAAGACAGGCTTGCTTTAAATTATTTAATGTATTTAGGCTTTATCACTTGTTGACTATTGTAGAGAAAAAGAATAAAGCTTATCATTGCCATAGGGAACATTATGCATAAAGTCTCTCAACCTTATCTGTGGAGACTCATATGTTTCAAAACTACACTCCAAATACATTGTTTTTTACCACTAAGACAATCTTTAAATAATCATTTACCACCAAACTACAAAACACAGCAGCCAGAAATCAAGACTGTTTAAATTTAAATTACATCACTAGTTAAAAAAAAAAGAAAACTCTAAATTAAAATTATGTACGCTTGTGGGGAAAATAATTCTAATTTTGTGCATTTCAAAATCTAGAAAAATAAGTATTCCCTCTCAGTCTAAAACACAGTATAGTATATACCATGTAAATCTTTGTTACGTAGAGCAAAACCAAGGTTATTTTAGGACTATACATGACTGACTTTCAGAAGACATTCAACCTCCAAAAAAAGTTTAGGCTGCCAATAAAACAAAACAAATATGAACTGATTACCTTCTCAGTGCCTCTTTTCTTTTCACGAGGCTGATTAAGTTTGGCCTGCCTATCTACCAAAATCTTCTGCCAATACCTCTGTTCATGGTCACCTTAAAAACAAAACAGAAACACAGACCACTGAACATAAGGATACATATGAAGAGACATATTCAAGGCATCACATTCTCAGTAACAAAAGTAGAATTATATTTAATGCTACTTTATGCATATTAAAGACAAAAAATATGTTTCATTAGCCAAACTCAGAAGATATAATACAATCATCCCACACTAAGAATTGTTAAAAAAGAAGATTCTATGAAGTTTTACCAGAAAGGATCTCGAGCTTCCAGCAGTGTTTCTTTTTAATTTCCGCATATGTCTTGATCACTGCTTGAGCATCCTCAGGAGTTTTAAACCTAGCATGGCATTCTGTATCTCCTTCTAGCAAATCAACATAAACAACTTCTGAGACTGTGGCCAAAGTATCCTGCATCAGAGTTTTAGAAAGACTTAAAATAAACAATAAAAATTTTTCATAATAATTCTAAAATTATTCCAATCGTGTCAGAATTAAAAGTCATATGTAGCTTAAAATGAGGAGTAACTATCCTACATCAAATATTTCTTCTAAAATATACCAAATGCTCTTAAAAATTGACTTGGACAAAGTTGAGAACCAATTTAACATAACCTCTAATCACAACGTACTTTCTTTTATTCAACCACACCCTTAAAATCTTAACTAGAATGGGAATATTGCATAAGGAGAACAGATTTGCAGAGCAGGATGGACAAACACTTATCCCACCCCCAAATCAAGAAGAGGAGTTCCAAGTCTGGGTGTAGTTAGAATAAGGAATAAAATTAAAAACAAACACACACACAATGAATTGGGAGAAAAGGTGTGTTTCCTCTCACCTGTACAAAATCACATACAACTTAAAACATGTAAAAAACATTCAACTTTTTATAACAATTCACACACAAAAAGTTTCATGGAACCTACAAAAATCCTAGGTTCCGAGTGGGTCTATGGGACCATAGCTCAAGAGCTCTTACCATCTGATAAAATACCTCAGCAACCTTTCCTAAACAAGTTGTTTAGACTTTGCTTCACCCAGCAAAGAGAAGTTTTACCTATGCCTGCTGTGAGGGCAAATTAACAAGATTCCTGCATTTCTAATCATTTTTTTTTTGGTCACAGTAGGTTCTACAGTGTATACAATGCAATTATGCAGGAATGTTACACTAATTCTTAATTCATCAACTTCCATTCATAAAGCTAAAGAAATAACTGGAGATTACCAACTGAAAAAAAAGTATCTTATCCATCTCGTTCCCGTTAGTTTTAACACAAAATTTCAAGCCACAACTAATTTAGATTATTTTTAGATGCTGGATTTTTAAAGTCTGAATTATAGAAAGAACTGAGCAATACCTGGAAATATTATTTTGTCATAGAATAAGAAAAGTTTATTAGTTAATATTATAGAACAAGTAGTAAAAACATGCAAGTCGGTAAAAGCCAGGGACTAAGTCTCACCTCATCCCAACACTTAGAATACTGCCTGCCACAAAATAGGCACTTAATAAATGAAAAAAATTACAAAAGAAATATACATGCCAATTCATCTCATTTCTCTATCTAGTTAATTAGTACGAAATCCAGACACAAAGCAAGAAAATAATCAGTATCAAGTTGATGAAATTTGAATTATTCACTG